TCCAGGGCCGAGTTGTTCAAAGCTGGGTTACAATAACCTAGGGTTAGTGCGAGATTTGAATTCAGATTTGAAAGGTTAAAAAGCATTTCAGTTTAAATTCTTTTTGTCTACAAGTTGACGATTGGAAGCTCTAAAAATAACAGACAAAATTATCCGAGAAAATGCTTTTGAACACAAGAGAAAGAAACCCGGGTTAAATTTAACCCCGGGTTAAGAGCTAATCGGCCTTCGAACAACTGGGCCCAGGTCTATAGTCTCAATGTAACTTTATTGGGACACGCAAATGTAAAAGAAGGGGAACGGGCTTAAACCTTTTTTAACAGAAGTCAGTTCAATGACAACATGCCCATTCAATAATCTCAGTGACCCATGTGCGGGGGAAGGGGCAACTGTACACATGCTTTTGTCACAGTATTAGTTCAAAAAACACACATCAAGCCAATTTTCATTGTCCAAAACGAAGGAATTATAGCCGGAGCAAAGTATTTTATTACTTTGGGCAAGACAGCTAGATCGAGTTTAAGTTTGATTAGGGCTGCGGGTTTTCTCTTTTGCTGACCATAGTTCAATGACCTGAGCACATCTCCGTTGAATAATCTTGGCAGAAGTTCATAAAGCATACATCATTTCAATGTCCACTGACACTAATTTAAGGAATAGGAGCAATATTTTCTATTTCTCTGGGTGAGGTGGAAGCAATGGGAAGGGGTGAGGGTTTTGCATGGCTGAACTTCTGGTCCATACTTAAAACAGCTGGCATTTTTCACCGCTTGACACTGTTAATGGACCTGACATCAGCCTACTAAATAGTGTAGTGTAGTGTTTTTTACTGCATATTCTTCCAGTTTGTCCAGGGGCCTGTTTTTCCTGTTCTTTCCATTCAATGCTTGTATCTTGATTATAATTTTGTAGTTAAAATTTCTAGAAAGGGGGTTAGTAGTTCTGCAGAACCATCTTTTGCATTTGGCAATTCTGGGTCCATTGATAATTATTATATGATCTTGTATTCCTCTGCAACTCCAAAGCAGGTCAAAAACTACCCCTTCAGAAGACTTGTGAGGGAAATTTTATGCTACCACAGGTTTGCCAAGAAAGGAACCATGTATAAGCAATCACAGGAACAACAATGTTGAATCTGGGTAGAATGATCCCAAGAACTTCATAATACTCAGTCTTTCCTACCACCAGTTGGCATTAGGACAATGCAATCATTATTCTCTAAAATGGCATTCACAGCACCTTGTTTGCCATGAAATTTGAAATATTCAAACACAATTATTTTTTAAAAAAAGTGTCTAGGGCAACGTCTCCTGTCTGGCTAAATGGTATTTACGATGGTATCTCATCAACCACATCGCCCTCTTCCATCAGGGTAACAAAATTGTCTATCAACTTAAAATCTAAGTTACCAATAATTTAAGACACAAATGATGTGTTATAAAAGAGCATGGCAAAACTAAATTGGTCTACTGTGTAATATCACAAAAACAAATAAAAAACAATACAGACCAGGCATATAAATAAAAAGTAAGTAGGATTTATTTACACCGGGCTGTGCATTCAGTGACAAGTCTAGTACCCAGTGAGGTAATCGAACAATAAAAAAATGTAAGTAAAAAAAACCTAGAGCTAGTTTTGTGGCTGTTTTTCCTGTAAGTACATAAGCTTACATTGTCGAGCAAATGATACACAATGCGAAATCCTGAGACAAAAATTTAACAGATTTATTATCTATTTAATAACATAACTTAGACGTCTTGAGACTAGTCAGACTGGTTTGTTGCCTTTTCGAGTACTCAAGATGCAGCGTGCAGCAAATAGTATTAAAGCTTTACATTTGGCTTCGTTTGGCTGTTGCAACAATTCTCAGCTCGCCATCATGTTTTCACTTCGACTGAAGAGAGCGTTTCATCACTAGGGACCTTAACAGAAACGATTATTAACTTACTAACTTTCCTGACCGGCTGTTACCTTGGCGTGCGGAATTTCATTAAAGGCAGTACTGTCCCGTCCGCGGCTAGTAGTTTTTCGATTTAAAGTTCGGTAGTAAACATTATGGTAGTTCGGTAGTAAACATTATGATGCTTGAGTCCAATGTGTGGGGTGAGAACAGCTTCCTCTTCACACACGCGACGTGGATAGGCAATGATTTGCTCAAAATTCGTAAAATAAACAGAGGTGAACTTATTTAAAAATTGCATATTCGTCCGCCATTACTCTTCCCGCCATCTTGAAAACAAGATCTGCCAGACGGCTCGCCCGTTGTCTCCTTCCCGCCTTCCTTTGCGCGCACATTTTTGGTTTGCAATTACTTCGCATGATGAAGTTTTAAACACCTGCCAGTTTGTTTTGACTGAGAGTTGTTAATGTTTAAAGATTTACAGAATAATCTTTAACCAATCAGAGGTAAACAGACACGTTTTGAATAAAATTGGTGCGGAAAAAATAAAATTGATTTTTAAAATGAAAGGCTTAGAGAAAAGAAATCATTACAAAAATGAGTTTATCACTGACATTTTCATCAATCTCATCTGATAGTGATTACGAAGACGATTATCCGATTCGAAAATCATACAGAGATTATAGAGATGAGCCATTCTATTACGATGGTATTTTAGATGAAGAACTTCATTTTTGTTTAAACACAGAATTTGAAGAAATCAGAAAAAAGCAGGTTGAGTTTTAGCGGAAAGCATCATTCATTGTAACTCTTGTCGTAAAAAGAACCCTCAATCTCTTCTCCCATCAAATCAACAATTATGCAACAGGTTTGGTTGGCAGAACCACATTCACCACGAATACCTCTTCTGTCCAGTTAGGTGTGTAACCCTTATCAAATACTCGCCTCTTGTTCTTTGATATACGAACTTTATCTCCAATTGCAAACTTTGGTTTTTTATATTTTAAGTAAATCAAATCACCATACATATTTGCAAAAACTTTTTCCTCATGTACCTTTTTACTTGCTTCAGCAGGTTTCATTTTGATGCTAGAATGTCTCGTGTTGTTGTAATCGTTAACTAATTTATTTTTATTTATTTTTATCATTATTTTTTCAAATTAATTTATTTATTTGCATCACTGATTTACATTACTTACATATAAAGCATATAGATACATGATTGCTTTGCTACTATACAGTAATTACTTAACAGTCCAGATATATAATACAGAGTAGCCAAACTGAACTTAAGTAGGTTTTGCATACCCACGCGCATACATACACACGTACACACACGCACTACGCACGATTATTGATTATCCTCCTAGAAACGTCCTGAAAGAGCCTCTAGAGAGTTAGCGCGATTGCTGTTCTCCGCACATCTTGACAAAGGAAATAAAGACTAAAGATCATTTTCCCGGATAAACGCTCCCCATTTTGCATTGAATAACTAATTTATCAAGTTTGTCCCAATAAACAGTATTGTTGTTTGTGGAAAACATCTTTGTTTTTCATTGTTTTATTTCATCTCTCAACAACACTTGATTTCTCGTCATTCTCAGTGCGATAGAATTTGATTTTATTTTTCCTTAAAAACTCTTTGAAATGTTTACTGATAAACTCAGAACCTTTGTCTGACCAAAGCATCTTTGGTTTTCTTTTGCTTGTTTTGAATATTTTATCAAATGCTTTACTAACAGTTTCAGTTTTTTTATCTTTCAGAGTTTTAATCCAAATGATACTTGCTGAAAACATCAATTACCATCAGTAAATATTTTACACCTCTGTTCCACTTACTAAACTTTGTACATTTCAACCAAATCAGCAGCCCAAAGCTCGCCAATCCCGTTTGATATTACTGTTCTCTTCGAAAAGTTTCTTGTGATTGATTTGTGAAGTTCGTCGGTTAATTGTTAAGAAGTAATCAACGGCAGACCAAGACCAAGTTTTTGTTTAGTATTTATTAAGAATCTTGCAGTTTGACCCCACTTTGGTATTTCACCGTAAGGAATATTACCCAGTGATTGAATCATTTCTCAGGGACACCCAACGACCGTTTTCTGGGAAATGATCTGAAATGGCTCGTTATGCATCCTGGAGTGCTTTAAAAGCAATATAAATGAATAATTCTCACCGCTAAAAAAATTTGATCTGTTCGGTCGTCCTAGGAGTGGTTTGAACCTCTCGAATTATTTAGGGCTGTTTTTCGCCTTTCCCGAAAATAACAGCCTACAGTGAAAGCTTTCCGAAAACGTAAGATTACTTGACGAGCTTTTCCCTTAGCCGGAATTTTTAGGGGTCCTTTCAAATTTTCTCCGAAAACTTTATCTATAGGTGAAAGGTGTTGACAGGCCAAACACGACTCATAAGCTCGTGATAGTGTGATACGTGACCTTATAGTTTTGCTCTAACGAGGATATCTCCCAGCGATTTGCTCTTTTATATGAAATGATGGGAGGCTCGTTGTATATTTCTCTCAGTAGTGGTTGATCTTGAATTAAGTGCCATTTGCTCATTAAAATGTTTTTAAGGTTCGGCAAAGCAGGGTGGTATGTGGTAACGAAAGGCAGAATTTTCTTTCGCACTTCATTGTTCTTTTGTAAAGCTGACTTCCGTTCGGTAAATTTAACCTCAGAGGTGATTTTTTTCTATGAGATTGTGAGGGTAACCTCTAGCGCCAAGGCGTTTTTTGAAGTTGTAGATGTTCTCATAGAAGGATTTAGCTGAGGAGTTAGTTCTCAGAAGTCTAAGGGCTTCGCCCTTTATGAGACCTTTTCTGACCCCGTGAGGGTTACAGGAAGAGAAATGCGTGTATTGAAAAGTCTCTGTAGGTTTAAAATGTGTGCGGATGTCAAGGATTCCTTGGTTGTGAAATCTCTCGCCTTTGTAAACAGTTGTATCCAGAAAGTTAATCTCTTTATCAGGTATTTCAGCCGTAAATTTAATTGAAGGGTGATGCTTGTTTGCAAGAGCAATGAATTCATCTATCTCCTTTCTATCAGTTTTCCACAATGAGAAAATATCATCAATGTATCTTTTCCACTCAAGAGGTTTAGTTTTACTGAGGTTCAGTATTTCTGTCTCCACCGCCGACATAAAAATGTTGGCAAAGGCGACTGCCATCTTTGTATCCATTGCGTGCGGTTCCGTGTGTTTGGAGATAGTTTTTGCCGTTGAATTCAAATGAGTTCTCTTGAAGAATAAGTTTAAGGATTCTTCTGAGGGATTGGGTGGGGATAGGGGTGTTTTCCCCGTAGAAAGTCTGGTATGCTTTGCATACTGTGTTTATTCCCTCTTCCTGTTGGATATTTGTGTACAGGCTAATAACGTCTAAGGAGACTAGGAAAACGTCCCCTGGGAGGTTTCTCCTTTCTATGAAGTTAACAAAGTCAGTTGTGTCCTTAAGATAGGACTTTTGTGACTTAGCTATAGGCTGAAGTAGGCTATCAACGAATGATGATATTCGCTTGGTGGGTCCGTCGTTTCCTGCCACTATAGGTCGGCCAACAGGAGTTGGCTTATGAATCTTTGTGAGAGTGTAGAAGACAGGTATTCTGGGTGGGTTAGATGTCTGTGATAACCATTTAACAGTCATTTCGTCAATAAAACTTCCCTGATGTAGTTCTTCGACTATTTGTTTCACTTTTTGGAAAGTTGCCCCTGCCATGGGGTCTTCGAGGGGTGTGTAGTTGTTTCCATCGTCTAATAGGGTCTGCCCCTCTTGTGTTTTATCTAGTTTGTTCATTATGACTGTGGTAGTACCTTTATCCGCTTTCTTGACGTTTATTTCAGAGTTGTTTTTTAACTCTGTGATAGCTTTTCTCTCATTTAGCGGTAGGTTGGGTATAGCTTTGGTTATCGGTGTGTGCGCAAGTTGTATTTTAATTTCTTCTAGATAGCTCTCTAGGGTGACAGACTGTTGAACTGGTGGTTCCCAGTTTGACTTAACGTAGAAGGGGTGGATGTTTTTGTCCTTGCCGTGACATATAAACTGGAGCCGCATTCTCCTAGCAAAATCTTTGAAGTCTGTAAGGAGTTGTTTTCTTAATGCGGTTTCGTTTGTTGTAGGTGTAGGGACAAATTTTAATCCACGAGAGAGCAGATTTATCTGATCATTTGTAAGTTTTAGATTCTATTTTGCCTTTCATGCGTGAGATGTCATCGCGATCGGAGTCGGTGCGGCGTGGACGTTTTCTAAAAGGGCTTCTTTCCGGAACTCCTCTCCTTGCTTGGAATTTGGGTTCGTGGGCAGGCTGTTTTCCTTTGCTGGCTCGGCTTGTTCTGCTTTGCTGCTGGCGGCTGCGTCTGTTCTGGTTGTCGTGTCTTCGCTTTTGGTTGTAACGCCCCGGTAGTGGACTGCGTTGGCCGCTCACTATATCGCCGTTTGAGTCTAATAGAGAGTCATCCTCTGCTATGGAGTTCAATTGTTCATCGTCTACTGAGACGTCACCGTCAAACATCTCTTGCAGGTTTTTCTCTGAGTTTTCATTCATAGTAAGGTTCTAGCAAGTGGTTTCTTAAGCAAGACTGCCGTTTCGGAACTATAGCGTTCCTCGTCAGTTGCTACTATGGTAAAGTCTTAGGTGTGTAGAGCGAAAATGGCTGTATAAATACTGGTGGGTAGGATCGAAAATACTGGCTTGCCATTGGCTGGTGGAAAAGCAACCAATAGCGTAATTGTAGCTTTGATCCGCGTTGTTTTGTGTTTTCTTTAAGGTCAAAAAAGCTAGTTTATGGGTGAACGGGAGTGATAGTATCTCACTGGATAGTAGTGATGCAAAGTCACTAGCGTTTCCTAGTGTCTGAGAGAGTTTGAGAGAAGCTTTCCCTATAGATTAGGAGTATTTTCTCGTACACTTCTCAAAATCACCCGAGTACATTTCTGTTGATGAGATTTATTCCCACGAGTTATGACGGAGCGCTGTCTAAAAATATCAATAGGTGAAAGGTGTTGACAGGCCAAACACGACTCAACAACAACAACAACAATTTATTAAGGTATTTCCATATCTATACATGGCATTACCTATCTAATACTTATGAATAAAGTACAAATATATCATTTATAAATATATGGCAAAATAAAAAGATTATATTCTTTTCTGAAATAACATATCATGTCTGTAACGCATACATTCAAAAACAAAAGCAGCAATTGATCTACAAACAGAGGGATCTATACTATTAAAGAGAAATAAAAGTTTTGAAGTCACATCTAAGTCCTTGAAAAGTGTATATCTATCAGATATTTCACTGAAGAATTTTAAACGTAAATTGTCATAAAGTTTGCAGAAGAATAGAAAATGAAGTTCATAAGCTCGTGATAGTGTGATACGTGACCTTATAGTTTTGCTCTAACGAGGATATCTCCCAGCGATTTTGCTCTTTTATATGAAATTATGGGAGGCTCGTTGTATATTTCTCTCAGTAGTGGTTGATCTTGAATTAAGTGCCATTTGCTCATTAAAATGTTTTTAAGGTTCGGCAAAGCAGGGTGGTAAAACTTTATCTGTTGTGAGATACATTGCGTGAAGTATTAAACTCATGAACCAATCAATACCGATAAAATTTACCGGTCTTCCAAGTGAGTCTGTTACATAGATTCTCATTTCAGCGATCTTGTACGATGAAACAGGGCACAACAGTGGTCTTCGCGGTTCAAATGTAAATGGAAAAGACCTTGTAAGATTGTCCGTCGGAATCACAGCAATCGTATTTGATTTTTTCCGTTTACAATGCTATCAGTTATTGCGCTTGTGTTGATATTCAGTACATCAATCGAATTTGTAATATTTGGTAGTTTTGAACCATACTCTGTCATTGTAACAAGTTTCTTTTCAAATCCAATGAGGTCGCCAAAATTTGTTCCTCTCAGATCAAGTTGATAGTTATCACTGTAGTCAAAAGAGATTAACACTCGATAGGTCGATAGAATAAAAGTAAGATTGATATGAAACTGTTTGTTTCCCCTTGAGTCGGTTGAGTGATGATTTTTTTGAGCGATGTACTGATGAATATAATCGTTGATATCTGAGTAGGAATACATTCCATCTGTGAAAGTAATTGTCTGCCTCGAGACGCCTTTGTTGTGCGTGTATTTGATTTTATTGTTTCCGTAATCGCTTCTAAAGTTATACCAAGAGTAAGTCATTGATAATCGGTCAAGAGCAAGTTCGTGTTTAATTTCATGGGCAAGTTTCAGAGGAGAATTAAACTCGATTGTGAAATCACCGGGTCTGTTTTCTCCTCTATATTCTCTTTTTACCGAGGAAATATGAATAGCTCGTTCTTCCATTTTTATTTAATCGTTATATAGTTTTTTAAACAAATTATTAACCTGTTTTTTTGAGATTACTTTCATTTGGTTGAGAAGATGCGCTATTTGAGAAAATTCAGGTATTGCTCCATTATTTCCAGCAAGAATTGAACCATCGAGTAATTCAAGTCTGTCAAAAAGTTGATGTGGGTTGTTAAAGTAGAAAATACCTTCACCGGTTTTAACGTATTTAGTTGATATTAAAAAATCATTTAAAACATTTTTATACTTCATTAATGTTCCTTTTTGTGATTTTAAATCTATTTATTATAATCTTTATCAGATTGATTTTTATTTTTTATTCGGCTTTTAGCAGCAATTTTTCCTTTAATTTTTTTACATCTTCCGTTTACATCAGTTAAAACTTTATCTATTTCTTGTTCATCTAAATCAAAAAATTATTTGGTCTTGGATAGTTAGATTTATCTAATATCACAATATCATAATCGTTAAAGTATTTTTCTAATTTTGTAACACTTTTTTTTAGTAGCGCCTTTTTCCTCATCCTCCTCATCCTCATCATCATCCTTAGATATATCAAGTAAATTACCAATAGGTTGTTGAGGTCCTTCAATTGCTTCAAAACCGAGTAATTGCCCTATTTCCCATCTTTTTACCTCATCCAACTTATCAAATCCTTCAGTTATAGCAAGTCTGTTTTGATTTTTTTTTTTTAATTTTAATTTGAAGATCGAACATATTTTATTGATAACATACTAACTATTAAAATCCTATTTACAATTAATTCACTTTAAAAAAAAACTCTTTCGTCAAAACACTATTTACAATTCCTTTCGTTAAAAAATTACTCAGTTTTGATTAGAAAAAAATTCATTTCATTAAACAAAAATTATTCAAATTAAGAACATTTCATTCAATTAAAACAATTCATTTCGAATAAAAAAAGAAGAGACTATTTTCAAGGTCAATTGCATTCTTATTAAGATAATCACTAAAAAAAAATCACTAAAAAAAAGGAAAATTAAATGGCGTTCACAATGTGTTAATGACGAATATTTGCCATTTAAAAGTAAGGAAACACATCAATAGTCCGATTGAATGGCTCCTTCAACAACTTCGACGTCAGTATCAACATTCTTAATGTCACATGGCAATCTTCTTGTCCTAGAGCCTCTAAGACAAACCAACGCAGATCTCAAGAGTGCGAATGAGGTTCTGGTTCTGATCCATGAGATGGTTTTGGCATACTGCTCCCCTTTTTTGATGGCAATCAGCTGTGCGAAACGGCTATGATACATCAAGCACTCCTTTCCCATTCCCCCATTCCGCCAGTTGTGGTGAAGACCAAAGATGTAAATGTTCCATGCTCGATGTCTAGGACTCTCTTTGAGTAGAGACGCTTTTTCTCGTTCTCATGGATACGATAAATTTGTTGTGGCTCTAGGTCCCTATACGATACAGCATTAGGGTGACAGACCCTCACATCGAAGAATACTGATCGATGTCGCTCCCAGAAACCACGCTCGTGGATATCTAACCTCGCATTCTGAGCTTTGTTAGATCCTCTGTTTAAATGTTCGCCGGAGATGTCTTGAAGTACTGGTTCGATCTTGCATTCGCTACATACCATACTCAAAAATTCAGCTTCGAGATCTGTTAGCTCGTTGTGGCGTTGTGTAATAAAACCTCCTAGTTTGCAAATCATAGAGTGATCAACCTTAAAGGCTTCCCCACAAGCACATGTGGAGGGGATATCTTCCACTGGTCAGTCGTAGCGTAGTTTAACAGCATCACGGAATTCCCTCTTATTCAGGTTAAAGCCCAAATCCTGGAGGGGAAGCACTGTAAGCCATCCCGGTGATCCCTTTTCTGTAGCCAGATCTAATGCTCGCTGAGTCTTTCTTGGTGCCATCTCCTTAATACGCTCTGCCCAGTGTTCGAGTTCCTTTGAGCTTTGACTTTTTACTTCCTGTTGCGCTAGTTCTGTGAGGGAATCTTCAGGTAAGTGATGTGACTGAGATACAATTTGTTCATTAAGGGGCTTTGTTACTTTGACAGACGAAGCATATTCGCGCCTGGCTTCAAGGGACGGGTTTCCCAGGCCCAGATCACCCAAGCGAACTGGCAGCGCCAGAATATTCCTATCAAGCTGATTACACTTGCGCTCAGTAATCGCAGGAATTAGCATATGAGATATTGCATTCTCTAATGGCTCTAACAGATCTTGAATGTCCGGCAAAGTTCTTAAAAAGTACGTCCACCAATGTTTCAAGCCAAAGGTGTAGGCTGCGTGGCACGCTTGTGGTTGAGATAGAGCAAATTCGGCTAACTTAGCTATGTCATTGATCCAATTGGTCACCTTTTCGCTGACATATTCCTCTAAATTCTCCCTTGATCCTATTGCCGCCCCAAGGTGTTTCTGCGCTTGTACTGTTACGTTAATGGACGTGTCCTTGAAAGCTTCCCTGACACTTTCTTCCTTATCTTGTTTTGCGATGATCCAGCATTTCCTGTCGTTCGGAAAATAACCAAAATCCGGACCAAGGGTGCAAAGGGCATCCCACCACGTCCTAATTTCCATAATGGAGCCAGCTCCACTAGCATCATCTGCAAACCAACATTGCTTCACAATGGACCCATAGCAAGCGGATCGCCCTGTGTTGTTCCTTCTGTTGACATGATCTCTTTCCCGCCAATGACAAATCGCCGAGCTGGCTGTCTGTAGA